CCCGGCCGCAGTTCTTTCCCTCTTCTCCCCTGCCAGGCTCCGGCGGCGGCCATGTGGGGCTGACAGTCAGCGCGCGTTCCAGGAGTCCGTGGAGCGGAGGGGACGCGGCCAAGTGGACGCCAGCCCGCTGGCGGGGCGGCACGGGGCTTCGCGATGGACGCTCAAGGCTTGGATTGGCTTCTGGTCCCGCTGCACCAGCTGGTTTCCTGGGGGGCAGCCGGGGCCATGGTCTTCGGAGGGGTGGTGCCCTACATCCCGCAGTACCGGGACATCCGGAGGACTCAGAACGCCGAGGGCTTCTCTACCTACGTGTGCCTGGTGCTCCTGGTGGCCAATATTTTACGGATCCTCTTCTGGTAAGCCAGGGCTCTTGCTGTGGGGCTCCCCGAGAGCTGGCTTCCTCCGAGGAGGCCAGGGGTGGAGGTGTTTGTACTTCCTGAGAAGGAGGTGGTGAAATGGATGAGATGATTTCCCAGGGAAAATGGTGGGATCGGAGTGGAGACTCTCACTGTGATCTCAGGTCTCAGTGTTCATGCCTTGTCACTCAGTTGTTTGTCAGTTGCTTAACCCCAGGCCCCTGACCTCAAGGAATTTGCATGGGGGACCAGGGGAGAGTAAACAACAGAGGAACAAAACGCAGTGACCAGTAGGAAGGACATTGGCTGGCCAGTGAAGCCCTCAGGAGGGGACATCTGAGCCTGATGGAGCAGCGCTGGGGGGCCGCTGTGGGAGGGGCCATCCCCTTCAGCTTTCTCTGTGGTGTGGGGTTTTGTTTATTTTTTGAATAGGAAGTCCACTTTCTGCCTAAGACTGAAGAGGCTATTTTTTTCTTGCTCCTCCCAGCCCAACTTCCTCTTTTTATCATTTGCATTCCGGTAAGGAACTTGAAGTTAATTTTAACACTTGCTGAAGCCAGTCATAGTTGGGAGGGTGAATGTCCAGAGGAAATGGGAAGAGGTCTCATAGCTTCATTCTAAGGTTTCCAAATCTGGAACGTTCCCTCCATCGGGGTGGTCCCAGATCCCCCTCTGTCAGCAGAAAGGTTGCTCAGGGGAGGCCTGGTGCCCAGGTGGGGAGGAGGACTTCAGGCCCCTTCTTTTGACGTTTGGTCACTGTTTGAGTAATCATACTTTTTTGTTAATTGATTTTAAGCCAATCTTATTGAGGAATGATTGTCATTAAATAAAATTGCCATTCCAAATGTACAGTTAGATGAATTTTAATGAACAAATCCCCCCCCCACCCCAAAATCACCATCATAATGAAGATATGAATGTCCTGAGCCTAGAAGTTCTGTCTGCTCTGTGCATCTGCCCAGCCCAGGCCCCGGCCTACTCTGATTCACTTTTCCTTGGTGTTAGTTTTGCTCCTGTCTGGGGTTTTAAAAAAGGTGAGCCGTGAGTCAGTCACATCTCGAGTCTGTCACCTGGCGAGCCTACTTTTCAGGGAGGGGTTGCAGGGGCTCATTTTTGTTTAGCACAAGTTGTAAACAGCATTCTGAAGATTCCTCCTTTCCTGGCTGAGGGGCCTCCAGGCAGCGGAACACCTTGCTTTCCTTTGCTAAATTGACCTGAAGGCTAAGCTTGAACAGGAGCAGATGAAACATATTGTCTGACACTATTGTTGACTGAGCATTGGACCATTGGACGGGGTGCTGGGAGCCGGGCCCAGGCACGGTGTCAGGTGGGGGGCAGAAAACTTACCGTGGAGTAAGTTTTCTCCAACCGTGGAGGGAACTACCAGAGTTGGATTACCTTATGGGAAAATAGTTCCATTTAGAGGTCTTGCCCCCTGGTGTGCTTGTCATTCAACACTGCAAAAAGAAAACAGGCTCTCTAATCTACATCCCAGTACCTGGTTTGGAGGAGTCAGAAATGAAACCAGCTTCTTGAAGGCCATCTTGTCAGTGCCTCTGGATTTATGTGTTTGGGCCCCAATATTCTCTCTTCACCACAGGGCCGGAGTCTTTGAGAAAGTCTTGAGCTCTCTCCTCACACAGCATAGGGCGCCTTTGTGGAATTCTAACCTTGGTCCACTGGCAAGTCTCTTTCTGTACATCCGATTGTTCCTTTCCCGTAGAGTCAGCATCCTGAGCTGTCCTGGGTCAGAGGCCTTGGGTCACGGGCTGCCATGTGAGCACACAGGGCTGCCTGCAGTCAGCGTTCTGGAAGGCTGAGGAAACATGTGGGATGAAGGGAGGGCTGGCAGAGGTGCTGGTCCCTCCTCAAGGAGGGGGTGCATTGGCCTTGGGGTGCACTTTTCTGCATTTCACACCAGCAGGAGGGCAGGCCTCCATTTACAACTTGTCCTGATATGCACCTCTCTGCCCACCTGAGACCCCACCGTTCTGAGGGCAAAGCAGATGCTCCCTTATATTCCTCTCACGCCTGTGTCCCTCTCAGGCTTCATGGGTTAGTTAGCAGTCCATTTAATTTAGTAGATTTTTTGAGGGTTTCCCATGTGCCAGACGCTGGGCCAGATGCTTCCGTTTGCACTTTGGTGGAAGTGCTGTGTGGGTTGTACCATACACACATAGGTTGTAGGTGGTGGGGAGGGAGAGCACAGGTCAGGGACAGGGGCAGGCTCCAGGCGAGGCGGGAACTGGGTCCACACCAGAACAGTGCCGCAGGTAGCAACACTGGAGGGTGTGTTTCCCAAAGCAGGCTGGGACCACAGTCCTCAGAGCTCCAGTCCTCCTGGGAAGCCCTGAGAGATTTGTGGTGCCAGGATGTGAGTGGCTCTACAGGAGGGGCTGACCACACTATGCAAACCCGGGTTTCTGAAACTTGGGGAACTCCTATGCCCTTATTTCTTACCATCCTTTTGCAAAACTAGCATTCAGCAGATTCTACTCCATAAAATGCTGATGTACAGGATTTGGCCTTTGTGGTCTTAGAAGCCAGGACAAGGACTAGGTGATATCTTCTACCTAATGTTTGCAGGCTGGTGATTTTGTAGAGACGAGGGGGAAGGAGGGGGCTAGGGTGCGTGGATGGTGCTGCAGAGCCTCATGCATTTATGGAGGTAATTCTCAAGCCCCACCCCTATTGGATGAAAACACTGTATCAGAGATGCAGTAATATTGTTTTTGAAAATACACCAACACTGTATTGGAGGTCTGGTAGCACTGTATTGAAGATTTAGTAACATTGTACCAGATACATGGTAACATTCTGCTACTAATGGCCATAGCACTCAGGCCACACAGAGAAGCAGAAACACAACTTCTCTTCCACTCGATATATATATTTTGTTATTTTGAGAGGTAGAGAAGGTGTTCCCTGAAGAAACGTTTGCTTGGATTTGGTAGAACATCGCGTGTCCTCTGCAATGTGTACTTCCCTAGGGGTGAGACAGGTGTACGCAACAACCAGGGGAGAACTTGCTTCGACTGGCTTCTCTGTAAGAGAAGAGGCTGTGCCAACCCACATGCTCGGCAGGAGAGAAAGTGCTGTGGTGACATACCTGCCAGCACAGACTATTTAAGGAACAAAAACATTTAAGGAAGAAAAAGTTTTAAGTAATTTCCGAAGTAAGAAAGGTATCTTCCTATTTTGTTTGGCTTTAAAAAATTGTTAGTGATGTTGAACTTTGTTTCATCTTTGTTTTGTCCCTTGTGTATCATTTGTGGAAAGTTGTGCTTTTAGAAATTTTGTCTTCTTGCTCAGCCATCCTGCATCCTGAAATCATTTAAGTGCTCACCTGTGCTCCATGTCACTCATGTTCAGTGGTCTCGTTTTTACTGTGAACATTGAGTTCGTGTAGATTTGATTCTTGGTGTGTCGTGTAAGGAGAAGCGCAAACTTGGTATTTCCTCCACCATTTCTCTGGTCACTCGTTGTTTCTGTTGACCATTTAGAAAACGGAACTGGCCCTTTTGACATCATGGCCCAAGTTGCACGTTGTGAGCCTTATAGCTGGAAACGAGCTTGGTGGGAGGGGTCCCTAATCTGACTTACTTTATTGTGATGCCAGCTGCTCTGTCTAACATGGAACCTTCACTGTCCCTCGTGTTACCTTCACCTCTGGGTGAGTCGATCTTCTGGATCAACTCGGGAGCCCAGTTCTGAGAAATGACTAGAAATGTCCTCCAACCGCCTTAGGGGTTATAGCTGCAATTTATGGAAGAGGGGGCTTGAGGCCGTGGCTCACTGAGGCCAGGAGGCCTGGGGGCTGTGGTGCGCAGGAACCAGCCCCTGGCAGACCTCCCGCTTCTGGCTGAGAAAGTCCCTCGGACCACCCCTTTTCCTTCAGCACCTTCTCCTCACCTGGGCCTGGCTCCTCAGCTCTTGTGGTCTTCCT